GAGTTTCTTAGCACCTGGCTTTTGCTGACCTGGCTTTGAACTTGCAATCCTCCTGCCTCAGCCTCCGAGCCACTGGGATTACAGGTGTGAGCCACCGCGCCCGGCTTAATGATGGATTCTTTACAGAGATGCACAAACTAGAGATTTAAACTGAACCTTTTGTCACCTGAGTCTCTTCAAGTAATAATATTTCTTTATGGCATTAGAGACTATAAAATCTCTCTGTTAGAGATTTTTTTGAAACTTGATATATTTACTCAGTTTTATGCACTGTTAAAAGAAAAGGTGACCTGAGGCACACGGAGATTTTAAAAAGTTTAGCTTGTGAGCGGCAATTGGCTAAGCGGGAAACGCCAAATGGAAAGAGGTTTAGTATCGCAATGACAAGGTGACAAGGGACTGTAAATGTGAAAATTTATGGGTAAATGTGAAAGCAAAATAGAGGAAATATTTGCTTGGTTTTGATTTTGCTGTTGTAGTTCACCTGGTTGGAAAATTCACGTAATCATATGTTATTTGTCTACTTATGATTGGCTGAGGGGATGTTTTTCTTTCAGTCTAACATAAGCATTTGCCAAAAATGACCCACGTTATGTTCTGCTGAGGCTTGCTCTCTTTGTGGGGTATTATCTTTTCCCATATAAATGATTTAGATTTTTATGTAACCAAACAGGTCTATATTTTCTTGGGTGGTTTCTGGATTCTCTATTTTGAACACATTCTCTGGATTTTCTTCTAAGAGTTTAATTTTTTTATGTTGAAATTTGTGATTCATCTTGCATTGATATTGAGTTTTTTTTTTTTTTTTTTTTTTTTGTGGTTCTGAGGATTGAACCCAGGGCCTTATGCATGCAAGGCAAGCACTCTACCAGCTGAGCTATATCCCCAGCCCTCACATTGATTTTTGCATATGACATATTAATTTTCTTGCAGAAGGATAGTTGTGTCTGTACCATTTATTAAGCAATCCGTAACTATTCCAATAAATTACAAGGGCAATTTTGCTGAATTTAAAATTCTTTTATTATTTTTTTAATTTTGGGGGGGGGGGTACCAGGAATTGAACTCAGGGGCATTCCACTACTGAGCCTCATCCCCAGCCCTATTTCGTATTTTATTTAGAGACAGGGTCTCACTGAGTTGCTTAGCGCCTTGCTGTTGCTGAGGCTGGCTTTGAACTCACGATCCTCCTGCCTCAGCCTCCCAGGTTACTGGGATTACAGGTGTGCACCACCGCATCCAGCTCCATAATGTTTTCCATAGTGGCTGCACTAGTTCACATTCCTACCAGCAGGACGTGATTGGAACTAGCAGTTCCAATTCTCCAGGTTCTCACCCACGTTATACTCTACTTTGTTTGGACAGTGGTATCCTCATGGGTGTGGGGTGCTTTTGTGGATATGACTTACATTTGAGAATCGCTTTACATGGTTGTTGGTCGGTGGTACATTTTCTATGGGAATATCTCTTCAGGTCCTCTATCCATTTTCTAATTAGATTACATTTTTGGTTTAAGGTGTCTGAATTCTTTATATAAACTGGATATTAACCCTGATCGGATTAATGATTTGCACTGATTTTATCTCATCCCATTCACTCTATTATTTCCTTTGCTGCACCGAATTTTTGAGAATGAGGCAGACTCATGTTTTAGTCAGCTTTTTCACTGCTGTGACTAAAGGATCTGACCAGAACAATTTTATTTTATTTTTTTAGTTTTTGTTTTCAGCGGACTCAACATCTTTATTTGTATGTGGTGCTGAGGATCGAACCCGGGCCGCATGCATGCCAGGCGAGTGCAATACCGCTTGAGCCACATCCCCAGCCCCCCATTTAAGTTAATTTTTAAAGTTATTTTTTGCATTTAGGGGATGGGAAGGGTCTAACTTCATCACTCTGAATGTGAATATCCAGCCTCACCACACGGTTTGTTGAAGAGGCTTTCCTTTCCCCTCTGGGTGGTTTCCCAGCATTGTGAAGGTCGGGAAGGTCATTCAACCATAAACAGGGACATTTACTTCTGGAATCTCTATTCCATTCCTTTGGTTTCTGGGTCTGTCCTTATGCCAACCCAATCACACCGTCTTGAGCTCTCAATATGTTCTGAAGTCAGGAAGTGCGAGGGCTCCAGCTTTGTTCATTTTCAAGATTATTTTGGGAATTTAGCGGGGTGGGGACTCCCTTCAGATTCCATATGAATTTTGAGATGTTTTTTTGTTTTCCTACTTTTGCAAAAAAAAATACCATTGGAATTTTGATAAGGATTTCATTAGATATGTAGATTACTTTGGGAAGTCTTGATATTTTAACAATATTAAGTTTTCTGATTCATGAGCACAGACGAGGCTTTCCGTTTATGTCTTCAATTTCTTTCCGCAGAGTTTTATAGTTTTCTGGGTATAGACCTTTCCTCTCTGTGTTAGTCAGTTTTTCACTGCGGTGACTAAGGGACCCAACAAGAAAGAACTTAGAGCCGGGCATGGTGGCACACGCCTGTAATCCCAGCGGCTCGGGAGGCTGAGACAGGAGGATCACAAGTTCAAAGCCAGCCTCAGCAATGGCGAGGCACTAAGCAAGCAAGTCAGTGGGACCCATCTTTAAATAAAATGCAAAATAGGGCTGGAGATGTGGCTCAGTGGTTCAGGTTTGTGGGGCTCAGTTCACGGTTGGCTGCTTCCATCACTGTGAGCTCTAGGTGAGGTCCAGCGTCATGGCGGAAGGCCATGGCAGAGGGAAACTGCTCAGCTCCTAGCAGCCAGGGAGCAGAGAAGTGGAGGTGCAGGGAGATGCCCCCCTCCAGGGCATGCCCAGTGACCCACCTCCTTCACCGTGCCCACCTGCCTTCGGTTACCACTCAGTGCGTTCAAGCTAGGACGGACTGATTAGTCACAGTTCTTATGACCTGATCATTTTCCCTCTGACTATTTCTGATTAACACGGGGAATTTTGGGGGACACCTCATATCCAAACCATAACTTCTGCTGCTGGTCCCCAAAGCTCATGCTCATCCCTCAGTGTAAAATGAAGTTGGTCATCTGCAAAGTCTCAAGAGTTCCAGCACTGCCCCGGAGTCCAAGTCCAAAGTCCCACAGGAGACTTGAAAACGCGGAGCTGTGAGTCCCTGAGACCAATACAGAATGCAGAGGGTAAACACCTCCTTCCAAAGAGTAGAAATAGAGGCACAGACAGAAGGGATGGGACCACGGCCAGACCTAAACACAGCTGGGCAGACATTTCCTGTAGAGCCACATCCAGCAGCTGTGGCACATGGTGGCAGGAAGTGATCTCCAGAGGGCTCCAGCAGTCCTGCCCTTTGGCCTTGCTGGCGCGGGACCCCTTGCCTCTCTCCGCCTGGTGCTCTCTGCAGCCAGCAGTTCTCTTCAGGGCATCTCTTCATTCCTGGGGTCTTCACCCAGCTTTAGCTTCGCCTTCTCAGACTCACACGTTGCCTCCCAGGGGACGACCGCGAGGCTCTGACCCTGCTGCACTTTGCCTGGCCCCAGGCCTTCCTCTGAAGTGTCAGTAGAAGCCTCCAAGACCACCTAACCTCAGCACCCTGAAGAACCTACCTACAGCTCAAGCAGGAGACAGGCCTCCCAGGACCTCAGCTATGATGGCCTCTGAGTTCCTGGCAGGTGAGCCCAACGGACAAAGTCCTGGGAAACAACTCTGGACACCCCTGTGCAAACAGGGCACCTTCATGGTTTTTCGTTTCTTTTTGGTACAGGGTTGTACTCAGGGATGCTTAACCACTGAATCACATCCCCAGCCCTTTTTATTTTGAGACAGGGTCTTGCTCAGTTGCCTAGGGCCTCACTAAGTTGCTGAGGTTGACTTTGAACTTGCGATCCTCCTGCCTCAGCCTCCCAAGACGCTGGGATTACAGGTGCGTGTCACCATGCCTGTCCTGAGTCTTATTTTTTAATTGTTCCTTTGTGTTGTTACATTAAGCCCTTCTTTACCACGTTGGATGCCTTAAACACTACCTGGAATAATAGTGCCACTCTTGCTTTCTTCTTAAATTTTAATTTGCCTGGTATCTCTCTGTTCATTCCTTTATCTTCAGCTGCTATTTCTCTTCTTTTTATAGATGTTTCTTATTAAACAACAAGGAAGAATTTGTTCTGTTCGCATTTAGTGTGGTACACTCGATTTTCCCCTTTCATCCTGTGCCATGTTCATTATTTATTGCAACTTACTTCCTCTCTGCTTTTCCTTTCTGGAGGGGTGTTCACAGTGGAGGTCGCCGAGGCAGAGGTTCTGGGTGGTGTCCTGTGTCCAGGTGTGGGCAGTGCGTGTGGAACCTCGTGCCAGAGGAAACTGTGCTGTCTTCAGACCAGCTTTGCAACAGAGCTTTAGGCTCCTTCCTGACTTTGCAGCCTTGGAATGTCATCTTCTGTCTTCTGGATTCTCACTGAGCCACCCAGCATCTTTTTTTTTTTTTTTTTGGGGGGGGGGTGTACTGGGGATTGAACTTAGGGGCACCTGACCACTGAGCCACATCCCCAGCCCTATTTTATATTTTATTTAGAAACAGGGTCTCACTGAGCTGCTTAGCACCTCGCTATTGCTGAGGCTGGCTTTGAATTTACGATGCTCCTGCCTCAGCCTCCCTCCCGAGCTGCTGGGATCCTTGGTGTGTACCAGTGCACCCGTCTCAACCAACATCTTTTTAACTAAATTTTTGTTTTGTTTTCTTTTAATTGGCTGGAGTTGCTGCTTGTTGCTCTAACCAAGAAGCCTGAATAATGCAATTCCAAAATGGTTTGGCTTTCATTTTTTAAAATCAACTCTACCGAGCGCCTACCTGTGCTCAATAGTCTTCATCTACTCATTGAGACACGTGATTAGAGCCCGAGAAGGGACAGAGGATACTTGGACCACAAAATGACCCAACTATCCCACACTTTTCAGGGAATTCTCCAAACATTTCCTCCCTGGTGATGGAGAACAGATATAGCCCCATTCCCTCCTTAAAAAATAACCCAGTTTTTACAGACTTTAAAATGACCTTGAGTATTTTAATCATAAAATTAGACACCCACTTATAACACAAATACATGAAGGGGGAAAGCGAGGCCTTCTGGACTTGTGGGGTGTGGTACTTCCTCCCAAAGGCCACCAGCGCGGGGTCCGCCATGCTCTCTGCTCTCGGAGTCCCTTCTTATTGCGGAGGGTGATGCGGGTCAAAGCTGTAGGTTCCTGAAGTTAGCTGTAAGATCCTCCAGAGTCAGGACTGCTGAGACAGAAGAAATCGGGATGTGCCGGTGGGTGAGAAGCGCCCGTGAGGAAGAGGAGCATGGAGGTGACTGTGCTCCAGGGAAGAGGGACAAGGCCACCAGGGGCCTTGAGAGGCGCAGAGAGGGGGCCACAGAGAGGGGGCCGGAGCATCTGAGAAAAGGGAGACCAGGAAGACCTGGGAGAGGGTGTCTAGAGAAAAGAGAGACATGGGGGCTGTAGGGAGAGAGGAGGAGGAGGAGAGTACCTGAGCAGCATGGGTGGGGACAGGAGGTGGCACAGGTGGCAGTGACAGGTGTCAACCCCAGGATGCGATTGAGGCGATTTTGTATGCTTTGGCTGTGTTGCTCCAGCCTGTCCCAGAGCTCAGGCTCAAAGGGACATCCCCCGTGGTTCACAAACTTGACCCAGCAGTGGGTGAACTCTGAAATGTAGTGGGGAGCCGCAGCCTGGGGACAGGTCCCTTCCTGCCCCACCCTCCGCTCCTGGGCATCTCCTGTCCCCAGGATCCTCCTTCCAGGAGGTGTCAAATCTTGGGCTTTGCAGGGGCTTCCTTCCTGCCCAGTCCCTCTTCTGTCCACCTGCCCTGCCCCTGTGGCTGTCCCCTGTTCCTGTGGACACGCCCCTGACACGCCCCTGTCCACTGACAGCCGGGTCCCTCCTTCCTACCTCGGAGACTCATGACCCAGATCTGAACCCCGGATCTCCACAGGAGCCGCAGCCCTTCCTGAAATCTCCAGAGCCAGTGGAAGTAGAGGCGCGAGGTGAAGAGCCTCAGCCGCACGTGGGGGTGGCTTCGTGTGAGCTCCACCAGCTCCTGGGCGCAGTTGGGGCAGGGGCTCCAGGTGAGGTAGCAGGTGACTTCGTAGTTCTGGCTCCGGTCCAGGTCCAAGGAACGGATCTTCTTTATGAAGCGAATCTCTGCGTGGCGATCCTTCTGGGGGGGGACCCCAGCAGAGAGAAGGAGGGTTAGATGTCACATGACTGGGGCCGGGATGGGGCTGTGACTTGTCAACCTTCTAGTGTGGAGGCTTGTCCAGCATAGTCATGTCCCCACTTCCACTCACCCACAAACCCAACACCCCAAGTCCCACGAGGATCCCCGTGCCCCGAGGGGAGGGGTCAGCAGACAGACCCCACCCCCACGGCATGGTCACGCCTCTCCTTGGGACTCTTGCTCAAGAGTGACCAAAGGACACTGTGTTTCAGCCCAGGAGCCTCAGGAGCAGGTGGGAGGGGAAGCGCCCAAGGCAGGTGGGCCACCCGGGAGCCTGGTGGAGCTCAGCCCTTGGGCAAGGACTCTGCTTCCTCCAGAGCAGCGTGAGCTGAGATGGGGCAGCCCAAGCGCATTCTCCTGGAGGGAAGGAAGAACGCTCTGGGGTACAGGCCTCTGGCAAGTCCAGGGCTGGGACCCTGGGAATTCAAGGGCAGTTCAGCACCATACCCCAGGCTCCAGGCTCCTGGGAGGCAACTTTCCCTGCCCCCTGAGCCCGAGCCCCTGCCTGGCACCTTGTTTTGAAAGTAGTCCTGGTCACACGGGGAGCCCTTGAGCTGCAGCTGGTAGCACAGGTAGGTCTTCCGGCGGCAGTAGGGCCTGGGCGCCCGGTGCTGGTTGTTAAACTGCTGGTGGAACGTTTCTTTCTTTAGCAGCTTCATGACCCTCCGTGTGACAAGGAGGCACCAGGAGCCGGGAACTTCCTCTGGAGTCACCTGCGCTGGGCTCAGATGGCCTCTGCCTTCAGGAGTCAACTCCGTGGTGCCTGGGTCCCTGAGGGAGGTGACAGAGGAGCAGGGAGGGAAGGAGCAGGGCCACCAGGAGCTGTGGCAGTGGGTGGCTTCTCCCTCTGACCGTGCCCAGTGCCTCCCCTCCACTCTCACTGTCCAGCCTTGAGACCGTCCTCTGGGGCCACCCCATCCCTGTCACCTTTCTGCCTGGGCCGGGTGGGGCATCCCTCCTAACTGCCCTGCTTCCTGGGGCTGCCCGGCTTCCTTATGACCCTAACACTAGTCAACCCAGAGGGCTGCTTTGAAGCCAAGCAGTTGTATTGTTTTAAGGAACAAGTACAGGAGAAACTCAGGGTGTCAAACACACTAACCATCCCATCAGGGAATGAGAGATTAAAACCATACACCCTCAACGGAGTCAGAGACCGGTCGGGGGAACCTGCCAGGGAGAGGTTCATTCCCCAGCAAAAGAGCATAGAAAACCCTCCAGACCGAGAGCCACCAACAGGGCCCTCTCTGGTCTCCTCTCTTGCTCTGGGAGCTTTCCTTGCTGGCTTCTAATAAATCTGCTACTGAATTCTCACTCTCTGCCACCTGTGCACTTTATTCTTTGGGTGCATGACACAAGAACCCTCCAGAGCTCACAGACCCTGGGTTACACTGGGGATCAAACCCAGTGCCGCGCGCACACCAGGCAAGAGTCCTTCCACTGAACCGCAGCCCTCCTGGATTCTCTCTGGTATGTGGACAGAAGTGGGAGCCTGGCTCCCCAACACTGCGAGGCCACTGAAGGGGTGCTTGGGCCAGAGCCCCACATCACGAGGGCATCATGATTAAGCGGATATCCGTCTTGCCAGCTGCTCAGGAATCTCAAAGGACACTCAGCTCTGTCTTCCCGGCCGTTCTGACGTTGTCCTAGGCAAATGCAACTTGGCTGACCATCCAGTTGGGCTCAGGTGATCACGGACCCTCAGAAACCGTGTCTGCATCCAGAATTCAGGGTGCTGGTCCTTAAGGCACAGACCACAGGTGCCAATGACGTCCACTTCCTGTGGCTGCCTGCCGGGCCAGCACTCTTCTCCTTGGGTATTTCCCGCAATCTCAAGAAGACACTGCTTCCTGCACCAGCGACCAAACCCCTGCTAGCATCTGGGATGCTAATTAACAATGCCACTGATGTCATCAGCGGAAACCTGGTTTTGACACCTCTTATGCCCATTAGGAAGGCTTCGGTGGATTCAGATGAAGAGCTGGGCTGTGGCCTTGGATAAGTGGCCAGTCTGCCCCACATCAGGTGACGGGCGACGTGCGGCCTCTCCGTCACCAGCCCGATCACAGCCTGTGCTTCCCTGTGGTCTGGGACTTTCCACCTTGGCCCCCAGCTCCCGCGCTCCGGGAACCCTCCAGCCTGCCCGCTCAAGGCTTGAGTATTTGGACACAATTTTAGACAGTCACATTCTTAACAGCAAATCAAGAACCTTGACCTTGAAGAGCTAAAAGAACAGGTTTGCCAGAAGCAAACTAGAATTGATTTTAAGAGCCATTTGCCTCTCCTCTTCCAGTGGCCCCATCTTCCTTCTGGGAAACCATGGCGCTCCCGGTCTTGGTGGGGGGTTTCGTCCACACAGCTCCATGGCAAAACGGGGTCAGTCTGTCCAGTAAAGCTCACAAAGGTGCTCCGTAGCTGCCTCCAAGTTTCGCTCCATCATTCTGCCACCGAGAATGAGCTGGAGAAAGGACTTTGAGAAGGCCCTGGCGGGCGGACAGAGGGCTGTGCTGGGCCCAGGAAGCACAGGAAGTGGGGGAGCCTCAGGGGGGCTTCTAGTCCCAGGCTCCAGGGGCAGAGAACTGGGTGCTCGGTTCCAGTTCCTCTCCTAAGGCCTTGGGAAAGTCCCTGCCTGGGAGTGTCCTCCTACACACCGCCTTCCCGCCTCGGGCACCAGGCGAGAGGGCCCTGGGGTGCGTTCCCTCCCCCCTGCCCACCCCTCCCCTCTCAGGGCCCCTCACCTCCTGATCCGTGGAGTGTCCCCGCCGCCCCCAGGACAGGCTTGTCCCAGGTAGCTCGGCTGTCACCTCCGACACTGGGCTCACTTTCCCTGTTAAGGGGCCCTGGCTTTGGAAGCCCCCGATGGAGCTGGTCAGGAGTGACCTCCCAGGGCCATCTGGGTGCCAGCCCCACCTCTTCCTGGTTGGTGGGAGGGCCTAGGGTGGTTAGCTTCCTCAGGCTCAGACACCGTCTCTGCCCCCGGCTGCCCTGTGGTGAAGAGAGGCCTTTGTGAGAGGAGCCAGGGTTGCAAAGGGAAAGAGAAAGTGGTCCCCAGAGGGGCAGGGGGCAGACGCCCCTCCCTGGGGGCTGGGCAGTCTGGGTCCAGACCTGGCCCAGCACCGTCCCTGGTTGGCACGTCCGTCTTGTGGCCCCTTCAGCTTCCCAGCAGGACTCTGTACTTGTGTTGTAGGGACAGCCGAGGCAGGGCACCGAAGACAGCAGGAAACAGTTTTATTTGGCTGCAGCCAAGTTCAGGGGGCACAGCCTTTGCTGTAATCAGTCAAGCCCCTGAACCCCGAGTTCAGGGAGTTTCAGAGTTTTATCCCCAGTGTGTAAGGGGAGGGGCTCAGAAGCTCACAGTCTGCAGAAGTTCACATAAAAGCAGCTTTTTCTCTCTCTGTTCTGGGCAAGTTAACCCTTCAAGGACAGCACCTGAGAAGGGGAGAGCTTCTTCTCCCCTCTCTTTCCTCCCCTGCCAGCTGTCACCATGGAGCCCAGTTGTAACTTATCTTAACAATGTAGACAGCTCTGTGAAGCCCAGCTCAAGGCCAGAGGCCTGGTTTGCACATTTCTACAAACTACTATACTGGATACATGTTTATGAAAACTAGTCAGGGAGTGTCCAGCACCTGGAGTGCTGGTATCTTCTCAGCCAGTGGCCAAGTAAACAGGGTGACGCCAAAATAGGAAGTTTATCTACACTGGACTCTTTCGCAGAGACTCTTTTGCTGACAGTTCCAAAATCAGCCATGGTGAAGAGGGCTTTTCTGTGGAGCAAGGGGTTGCCCACTTCACTTGATGCCGACAGGGTGGGAGGTTGGGATACAGGGTTTCATCTCCTGCCCCAAAGAAGGCAGGTGTGGACAGATCCTGGGCCATGTCCTCTACCCCAGCCCTTGGAGGAGGTCTTAAGTAAGCACAGAAAGGCTTAGATGCCCTCTTGAGATCACACAGCAAACAAACAGCAGAGTGGAGTGCGGGCCAGGTCTTCCGGGCTGCTGCCCCGCCCCCCCTGCCCCCCACAACTAGCTGCAAGCAACTAGTCTCTGGGAATTGAGGTTTCCAGGAGAGGAGTGGGGGAGTGGCACAATGGGAGGGCAGCTGCCACCCTGCAGGGATTCCCAGGCCCGGGATTGAAGGACCTGGACTTCAAGTGTGTGTTCTGGAAGCTCTGCCTGCTTGGCACACTGAGCCAGGATCCTCGGTAAGAAACAGCAAAATGGAACCAAAACAAAAAAAACCCAAAACCAAGAGCATGTTGTGACAGCTGGATCCTGAGCGAGGAAGGCCTGCTCCCCCCTCGCCGCCTGCTCTTCTCACACCCCCTGCAGCCCCAGGCCCCAGGCAACAGGAGCTTGGGTTTGAAGGGTCACAAGAACTGTGTCCCCTCCACCCTGTCCGTCCTCAGGTCCTGGGGCTGAGGCAGGAGCTCAGGGTAAGCTGGAGAGAGGTGGCAGGAAGCCCCACCCCCATCCTCCTTCAAGACAAAAAGGAAAGTCTCCAACCGGAGTCCCGGGGACCCCAGACCCTCATTTAAATACATCTACATGTTAAAAGACGGGGGTGGAGGGGCAGCCACAACAAACGATCCTGACTGACCCTCTCTTTGTCAGCTGTGCTGACTTCTGTCCTGTGTGAGCTGAAGGGTCCCCTGAGCTGGTGACAGGATCACAGCCCGAGGAAGATTCCAGAATGAGCTGGGCCTTTCCAGGAAAAGAGATCACATCTGCATAATAGGGTGTTTGTCAGTGTCGGGCAGCTGGGCCGCCCCCTGATTTGATGCTGGACACAGGGACTCTGGCTGCGTGTCTTGGGAGGAAACTAGTCGGGCAGGAGAGCAAGTCCTGGGGGGCAGCTGTTCGCAGGGGAGAGGGCAGTTTCCTAGGGGGCGGAGGCTTGGGAATGGAGCTGTGTTTAGGCGCTTTTCCAAGGTGTGCTTTTCTTTCCCAAGAGAGCCCTTTAACTCCAAGGCAGGCAGAGGAAGGCGTGGTCAGAGGGTCACCTGGAGCCAAAGCTCTTTTTTTAAAAAAAAATATTTATTTTTAGTAGTAGTTGCTCACAATACTTTCATTTTATTCATCTTTAAGTGGTGCCAAGGATCAAACCCAGGGCCTCGCATGTGCTAGGCGAGCACTCCACCGCTGAGCCCCAGCCCCAGCCCCAAAGTTGTTTTTTATATGGATGCTGCATTCTGCATAAACATCTCTGTCCTGTGATGAGGGTGAACTGCTGTCACTGTTCAGAGACCACATGGGGGCTGGAGGAGAACACAAGTTCAGGGGCCTGGGAACCAGCCACTGGGCATTGAACCCAGGGGGTCTCACTGAGTTGCTGAGGCTGGCTTTGAACTTGGCATCCTGAGCCACTGGGATTCCAGGTGCCCCCCACCCTTCCAGCAGTTTTGATTGTCCTGGGAGAGTCATGGCAAAAGCATCTGGCCATGCTGATGCCCTGGTCTCTGGTAAGGTCGTTGAAGTGGGTAGGCAAAGCACACACCAAGCTTTCAACTCCTAAGAGTTGAGGAGACAAGAGGGGAAAATAAAACACAGACACCACCTTTTGATGGCTGTTGTTCAACCCCAGAGCTGCAAAGGCCCCAGTAGATTTTCTGATTCCAAAGAAAAACCCGGGAGCGGGTCTAATATTTTATTATTTGTGCTCCTGGCAGCAGCCACTGGGATAGGACCGAGGGCTGCCCTGAGCCGAGAAGCAGGGGTATCTGCAGGAAGGGTGGCCTGCCCACAGCACCACAGCACGGGGCTTTCTTTAGATGTTTTAGGGGTATACAATTTACTTTGCGGCCAAGGTCTTTCTGTTTTGATCCCCACCTGAAGATTGGAGGTAGGGGAAGGCTGCCTCCGGGATTCTTGGGTGGTTCTGGGTTCCCCTTCAGGAATCTCAAGCCTGACTGGAGTCTACCCTGCAGCCACCAGGCCAGTGCACTGGCCCTTGGTCCCCACACTGGTCTCTAACCACCTCAGGCTGAGGAGTGGGCTGGAAGGAAAAGAAGCGGAGCCTGCCACCCATGTGCAGTGGGACATACCTGTAATCCCAGCAGCTTGGGAGGTTTAGGCAGGAGGATCCCAAGTTCAAAGCCAGCCTCAGCAAAAGCAAGGCACTAAGCAACTCAGTAAGACCCTGTCTCTAAATAAAATACAAAATAGGGCTGGGGGTGTAGATCAGGGGTTGAGTGTCCCTGAGTTCAATTACCCCAGACCAAAAACAAAGGAGTGGGGTGGGGAGGCCTTCTCTGGCCTTTCCCTTGAGAACATTCTGTCACGAGCAGCTTCTCAGCCTTGTCTGCGAGTCTTATAGACTCGCCTCCCTTACTATGGATTGTAAACAAAAAGTCTCCGTCGGTCTGACCTTTCTGTGAAAAATCTTGCCTTAACTGAACCATTTCAGGTCTAGTTAAGTCCCTAGTTTCAATAACTTGTTCCAACCCATCTGGGCGTCCCCGTCCGGGTGTGGATGTTTTAATTACTGAAACTGGCATGCTGGCCTTATCAGGAGCTTCCAGTTGGTTCAATATATCTTTCAAAAATGGGTTATTACTTCCATTTTTAAGGGCTTCTTTTACTAACCTTTTGCCTCTTAGCCTGTCATCATCTATATCATCTATAATTTTACATAATATTCCCGGGATTTCTTTCTTGTCAGCCCGTTCCATTATGGGCTTGACGGTCTGAGGATTACTTAATGTTACCTCAACTGTGGTTCCTTTCTGGAACTCAGGCATCTTTGCCTGAACAATTCTTTCAACACCTCGCCATGGCGATTGAGATTTTAATTCCTTTTGCTCGAGCTTTAGTTCTCCTATTCTACATTTCTGCCTAAATCTTTTTATTACTTCCTTGAAGCCCATGTTGCTATTTTTAAGAGGATCCTCAGTTTAGCTATATGAATTTTCCAAGCAATAAACCCGTTTGTTTCTATCTTATAAGGTATCTGACTTATTCCCTGATGCCAGCTATATAGTGCCCAATTTTCTATCCTTTCCTTAAGCCACCCCATGCACAGGGACCACCGTCCTCCTAAGGATTTTGGTGGGGGCACTCCCCTTTCATTCCACCTTCAACCTAGACGCCGGACGATCACGGTCATTCTAGGTTTTCAGTAGAAGAAATTGTGCATTGCCATGTGGGTTATATTTACCTGCTCCGGAGCTCTTCTTCCGTATCCTGCCGACTACGCCAACTGTCACGAGCAGCTTCTCAGCCTTGTCTGGTTACCAGGAGTTCCCTTCCGGATATCTGCACTGGACCCCGGACCGCGACGTACGCGAACACCAAGCACGAACTCGATTGCCTTTTGAAATGCTGGTTTATTCGCACACCACACAAAGCAATACACGAGGTGGCTGGCACACAACTGCACGATCTTACTCTCAGGCGACGAGAGTTAGTTGTGGGCAAATACATGGAGTTTCCCCCGCGCTTATATACTTTACAAGTTGTTCACACCTAACTTATCTAACATAAGCATACTGCCTGACTACTTTATTATCCTATGACCACAACTTAGAAGGTTACATCATCCACACTCAAAAAGGTTACATCATCCACTTATCTAACATAGACACACTCTCTGGTCATCTTGTGACCAGCACTAAACAGTCACTGAGTTACTGCAAAGTCCAAACAAGTCCAAACAAGTTTCTCTGCTGATCCATGCTGACCCTTCATTCCTGATGTTTTACTCCTGTCACATTCTTACTTATCTGAGGGGCCATGCTGGGTTGGAGCAGGCCACCTGAGGCCTGTGGGTCTCCGAGAACGGCCTCTATCTAGCTCTTTTTCTCCAGGAGCATGAGACAGCCTGGCCTGGGCCTGTGGTGATCAAGGAGCATGTGACCTGATGGGTGCCCCTCTGTGCCTCCCTCCTTGGAGCAAATTTGGAAGGAGGACATCTTCAAGTCAGACATGCGAAGCAGCCGGGCAGTACCACCGATGATTCTGCCCTCAGGGGCCCCGCCCAGGGAGCCCGGCAGCATGGGAGGAAAGACCACATACGTGGGGATACAGTGGGGAGTGGCCGCAGTGGCCATTTCAAGCCAGGGAGAGCTCAGAAGGAGGCTGGCTGGTCTTGGGCTTCCAGCCTCCAAAACAGTGAGAGCGCAAATTCTGGGGCTAAGTAGCTGGTTGACGGCTTCTTATTATCCAGAAATCAAGTCAGCCTTGAAGGGGGTCCGTCCCACCTGGCGGTTTTCACGCTCGCCCACGGACCCATTTACATTCAGCCCAAGAACCACATTCAGTGACTGTTGTTGCGACCATCAGGGACAAAAGGACAGAGCCGTTCCCTGGCCTTACTCCACCCTTCCGGTCCCACTAACATCCCCCCACCCCCATTGATGCCACCAAGATTTTCCACAGGTAAGAAATTCCTAAGAATGTTTACCACACTCACGGCCCGTGGGATAGCAGCCCCCAGGCCACCGGGGCTCTCCACCGGAGGGCTGTCCCTTCCTTTGCTCGGGAACCAGCCTGAGTTTTCTCTCCATCAATGTTGTTCCTTCTGGAGCTGAAGCCCCCCTCCTTTTCCCAGTTAGAGCCTGGCCTGCTCTCTCTCTTTTTCTTTCTTTTATTTATTTTTTTATACCAGGAATTAAACCCAGAGGCGCTTGACCTCGAAGCCACATCCCCACCCTTTTATTTTATTTTTTTAAATTTTTATTTTTTGACAGAGCCCTGCTAAATTGCTGAGGCTGCCTTTGAACTCTCAATCCTCCTACCTCAGCCTCTACCTCAGAGTCGCTGGGGTTACAGGCCCACTGCACCTGGCCAGACCAGGCCTGGTTTCATTTTCATTGTCACTGAGTCAGAAGTTCCTGTGGCAGGCACTATCCTGATGGGGGAGGGGCCCTGCGGATGCAGGAGGGTGCTCTTGAGAAAGCAGGCAGGAGGTGGGAGCCATCCAGGCAGCCCCAGAGGGCAGGGCCAGAGGAGGCCGGGGAAACAGCCATGGAAGTAGCACAAGGAAGCTCCTCATGGGAGAATCTTCTGCAGCTTCTTGACCTGGAAATGGTAATTTCTAATCAGGTTCTTCCAAGGCCGGAATGGCCGTCCGTCGTAGGGGTACACAAAGTTCTCCCAACAGTGCTCAAACTCTGTGAGGGAGGAGAGGAGGGGACGTCAGAGCCCTGCAGCCTGCTTCCCACCCCCAGGCTGCCCCAGCACCAGCTCCCTGGGTCCCCTCCCACTGCTTTGGAGACCTGGCCTGGCCTGACCCTCATCCTGGTTCCTCGGGCCACCTTGACCCTCTGCTCCTCACCTCTGAGGGACATGATTTCCACCCTGGCTCCTTCCCGCTGCAGGGCGCGAAGCCCCTCTTGGTATGAGTGATTCCAGAAGTAATAGAGGCGGGCGGCGTAGATGGTCAAGCTCAAGTTGGAGTGGCTGGCCAGGAAGGCGGCCACCTGCTGTGCACAGTCAGAGCAGGGACTCCAGGAGATGAACCAGGTGATCTGTAAGTGCTGGTCGGGGAACTGCAGGGGGTAGTCGTGCAGCCAGTAGAGGAAGCACAGCTCGGCATGCAGGCGGGTCTCCAGGAAGACCTGGGGGTGGGGGAGGCGGAAGCCCCGGTGGAGGGTGGCCGGGCGGGGCTGTGGCATTTCATCCATTCTCTCCGTCGCTCCCTTCTCCCCTTTTGAATCCATTCACTCTCCCAGCTCCCAGGTGGCCCTGGGCCAGCATGCCTAGCCCTGCTCTGGCCAGGTCGGGGGAGGGCACCAAGCTGCACCACCCCACGGGGAGGAGCCACTGGCCACAGGTGCCTACCAAGCACTTGTGACTCATCTGAATTTGAGACCCTGGGCCCTGCATAAAACACACAGCTCATTGCAAAAAAGAAAAAAGAACATCATCCTGGGAAGAGTTTTATAGGTTGAAATGCTGTTAGGCATATTGGACTAAATGAATTCCGCCCATTCCTGACCACTTGGTGGACTGTGGGCACTGGAAGAGTTTAAATGAGAGACATGACCCATTCGCCTTCCATTGGGTAGCTGTGCTGCAGAGCAGGCCTGCCCACCCCAAAGGGCTCCCTGCCCTCCAAACGCTTGGGACAGCTGAGCACGGGTGTCAGACGGGCAGGCGGGCAGGTGTGTGGAGGGGATGTGACTGCTCTGTGTAGGGGCTGCAGGGGTGGCACTGGATCTAGCAATGGCCGGTTCTGGTCATGGCTGCCGTGAGGGGGCCCAGGGAGGCCCTTGCGCCTGGGCTCTGAGCGGGCTGGGGGCAGGCAGGGGCAGGCACAGCGCCCTGTGTGTGGTAACAGGTCCTCTCTGTGCAGGGGTCAGGGGTGTGGCGGAGCAGGCTCGGCAGCCCCACAGACATGAGGGCCAGATAAGACGCTGGGGAGCTGGGGTTGGGGCTCAGAGAAACAGCGCTAGCATGCGCGAGGCCCTGGTTCGATCCTCAGCACCACATAAATAAATAAAATAAAGGTACTGTGTCCACCTACAATTAAAAAATAAATGTTAAAAAAAAAGACTCTGGGGGCTCAGGGCCCCAACCTGCTAGATGTCCTTTCCTCAGGACTGTTAGACACACGGAGCCTCAGGACAAGGTTTGCCTGTAGACTTCTGAAGAAGGCCTCTGGGGGAGTCAGATGCCATTGTGTATCAGGTCACAGGATGGGAGTCCCAACATCTGGCTTTTTACTGATCTTTTCTGCGTTCTCAACTGGAGTGGCTCCTGTCTACCATGTGAGAGGAGTCTGGCGGATACCTGGGTTTTAAAGACCCCTCTGTGAATGGGGACAGTCGAGTCACGCTCCTCTCTATCCACCTGGTAGCACAGGAAGGTGTTGTTCCGGCCCAGGGCCCAGCGAAGATTCCGGAAGTGGAAGAGGAATGTCTTTCGATATAAACGACTTATCTTGTTTCTGGAGGCAAGAAAGGAGACACCCAGCGAACCCCAAGTTGCTCTAAGCTGCTGTCCACTGAGCCGGCTCCCTGGGTCCCCCTAGGTGCTCCCCAATCCTCTGCAGCTCTGAGAACTTCCGCCATGGAGGGCCTGTTGGACCCACCCAGGGTCCCAGCTCTGATCCTTCCAGTGGGACGCCCCCCCACCCTGCCCACTCAACCCCCAACCCAAAAGAAAAAGACCAAACCCCCTCACCCCAAATATGAGCTTTGAACATGTCGCCTCCTCCTCCTCCGTTCATTCCTGACTCACACTGTGCATGCTGGTTTGTTTTTTAACCAGGGTACCACCTGAGGTCTCGGGCACAAGCTACTGTTCTGCACATTTCTCCTCATCTTTCATTCTTGTGTCCTCCTGTCATCTGGGTGGTCCAGCTCTAAGAGGTCTCATCTCTGCGGTTGTGGGTGTGCTTGGGGACCCTGGGCAGTCCCTCTTGGGCTCAGTGGAGGTGACTCCTTCAGTCTCAGAGCTCCCTCCTCCCCCTCCCTCTCCTAAGACTTCAGGCTGACAGCCGCACGGAGAATAGACACTCCTCAAAGGGCTTAGAACACGAGTGCGGGTTCCTTCAATCAGAGTTTGCATTGGGTTCTGATTGATAACAAGACTGGCAGACCATGGAGCCAGGCTGCCCGCACGGGGCAGGAGGGGCAGCCAGGGGGCACTTTCAGACAGCTGCAAAGAAACGGCCAGGGGCTGGGGGAGGGGGAGGAGGGTGGCACCTTCAGAAGCTGCCATGGGCCCCCTCCAAACCGGCAAAGACCCTCGGGGGTGCTGTGGAGGAGCCTGGAGAGAGAGAACCCAGGCCTGGGTGGGGGAGAGACCAGGAGAGAAGCACTATGGGGCGGGGGGGGACCCCAGGACAGGAGGTGCTGCAGACGGGCCGGTGGGCAGAAGGGCCAGCGGTACCTGATGTCTGGGGCTGGGTTGTGGCATCCTGGGCAGGCCCCGGGTCTCCGGTTCTGGGGCTCCATTTCCTGATTCCAGGGCCTTTGCCTTGGAAGCCCCCTGATCGATCTGTGAGTGACCTCCAGGGCCATCTGAGTGCCGGCCCCACCTTCTTCCTGGTTTGGCACCGGAATGGGAGGGCCTAGGGTGGGTTTTCTGCCTCAGGCTCAGACACCTTCTCTCCTTCCCTCTGCCCCCCCGCTGGGCAGAGCAGGACACCGCCCCTTGATGAAGACAGGCCCCTCGGAGCTGCAGGACCACAGGAAGCGCAAAGGGAAAGAGAAAGTAACTGATCCCAGAGCGGGAGGAGGGCGTGGGCCTGGAGAGGGAGCAGGGCAGACGCCCCCCCTGCAGGCTGGACAGTCTGGGTCTCTCTCATCCGGGTCCAGAGCCCAGCGCTGTACCTGCCTGGGGAATGGAGGGTGATGGGCAGGGACAGTGTGGATTCCAGACAGGGCCTCCTGTGTCCGGTCCTTGCACCGGAGCAGGGAAGGGCAGACACAGATTGGGTTCCTGATTCTGTGCTTGGATCTTCCCATCTGTCTCCTCATCCAACTTCCCAGCCAGTAACCCCAATGGGACCGATGGGCACAAAGACTCCAAGCTGGTGATTGACAGCTCAGGATCAGGTAGCTACAGGTGGCAGAGCTGGAATTGGCGATCTCATGCTGTGGGCTTTCTCCACAGTCCAGGCTGCTTCTCCCTGCAAAATCAGAGACAGTAGTCTTGCCACCTCTCAAGGGTGGAGGTATGAGCCAACAAATGCCACACAAACACAGGAGCATACAATACACACAGCTTTCTTTCTAATTGTTTAAGTCCATCCACAGATAAAACCTAGAGTGCTTAACCACTGAGCCACATCCCCAGGCCTTTTTATTTATTTTTGAGACAGGGTCTCTAAATTGCTTAGGGCCTCGCTAAATTGCTGAGGCTGGCTTTGAACTTGAGATCCTCCTGCCTCAGCTTCCTGAGCACTGGGATTAAAGGCATGCACCATCTTTCCCAGCCTAAAACCTAGAATTCTTTGGAGGAATCAAGGTCTATTGTGTCCTCCAAATAATCATTCTGAATATCATGTACTTCAACTGGATTTTGTCCCAGATGAACGTGTGCTCTGTGCCAGGCCCTGGGCTCCTCTGAAGGCAGAACCCATTGGGAAGGCTGATGAACGGCTGTTAGGATGTGCCACAGCGCCCTCTCCTGGCGGAAGGCGATCCTACCTCTCCACAAGGTAGAACTTAGGGTTGAACTTTCAAGGTGGGTTTCTGTTGCCTTGGAGAACAAACGGGCACAGGATAAGGACATCAGTAGAAAATACATACTTCCACTGATCAGAAGCAGACACATTTTATAAGAAAATGAAGTGAAGAACACAGACCCAGGAGTCATCCCTGAACCCAGCTGTGGGTGACAGGGAGGTACTGTGGTGGAGGCACCAGCTTTATAGCCAGGCACATCCTAACTCTGCCCCTTCCTTACCGTGTGGCCTTGGGTGACTTACTGAATGTCTTTGAATCTCTAATATCCTTCATCTTTAAAAGGCCATAAATAATATGCATCTTATAGTTATTGGGAAAGTCAAATGTGATTGGTTTATGTAAAGAATTTAGCAAAGCACCTAGAATGTTAAAAGAACGGAAGACCTAACAGTTATGATCCAGCTGGGGGCTGAACCAGGGGATCTCCCCCATGCTATACATGTTCTCTACCCCCAAGATACATCTCCAGCCCCGTTAGTTTTTGTTTTGTTTCTTGGTGGTGCTGGGGATCGAACCCAGGGCCTTGTGCATGCAAGGCAAACATTCTACCGACTGAGCTATATCTCCAGCCCCTATTAATTTGTTGTTTAAAAACGTTTTCCACTATCAGGGTGCAGTGACCCATGCCTGTAATCCCAGTAGCTCAGGAGGCTGAGGCAGGAGGATCTTGAGTTCAAAGCCAGCCTTAGCAACTTAGCAAGGCCCTAAGCAACTTAGTGAGACCCTGTCTCAAAATAAAAAGTGAAAAAAGGCTGAGGATGTGGCTCAGTGATTAAGCACACTTGGGTTCGATCCTCAGTACCAAAAACAAAAAACAAACAAACAAACAAACAAAAAAAAAAGTGCCTCACCTTAGACCTCACTAGAATACAAGAATACAAATAAAAAAATAGAATACCTTATTAAAAAAAACACAAATTTCCCACTGGACTTGGGGATGCATGTCTGTAATCCTAGTGACTCAGGAGGCTGGGGCAGGAGAATCCCAAGTTCCAGGTTAACCTCAGCAACTTAGCAAGACCCTCAGTAACTTTGACCCTGTCTTAGAATAAAACACAAAAAGGGCTGGAGATGTACTTTAGTGGTAGCGCACCTGGGTTCAATCCCCAGCCCAAGAAAGGAAAATAATTTGTGTGTGTAGTTTCATTTCTAGGATATGATATATATATATGAAAAACATGAACACGTATATCCATAAGTGACCGTTTGTGATAGTTCCATTCAAAGTGTTGTACGGGTCGTGTCAATAATTTGCTTCTTTTTAGTACAGAATAGTATTTATGGCATGGATATGCTGTTTTGTTTTTGTTTTTTGGAGGGGGTTCTGGACATTTAACCCAGAGGCATGTTACTATAGAGACAGAGCCAGCCCTTTATTTTATTTTGAGACACAGTCTCTCTAAGTTGCTCAGGGCCTCGCTAAGTTGCTGAGGCTGACCTTGAAATTGTGATCCTCCTGCTTCAGCCTCCCCATTGCTGGGATTATAGGTGTGTGCCACCAGGCTAGGCCTTGAGTATAGGTTTTTGTGTGAAGATGAATTTGCATTTTCTGTGATAAGTGCCCAAGAGTGTAATTGCTGGGCTTTACGTTTAGTGTGTGTTTAGTTTTATAAGACACCATGGAAACATTTTCTAGAATAAATGTACCATTTTATATTCTCACCAGCAATGTATGGTTGATCCAATTTCCTCACCTCCTTCCCAGCATGTGACCCTATCACTGTTTTTCTATTTGAAACCTCTGGTGGGTTTACAGTGACACTGTGGTTTCAACGTTCATCTCCCCATGGCTAATGAAGTTGACCATCTCTTTCTTTCTTCCTTCCCTCCTTTCTTTCTTCCACCCCTTTTTTCTTTCTTTCTTTCCTTCCTCATTCACTTCTTCCTCCCTCCCTTCCTCTCTTTCTCTCTTTCGTTTCTGTACCAGGGGTTGAACCCATGAGCACTTAATCACATCCCCAGCCCTTCTATATTTTATTTTGAGACAGGGCCTCACTAACTGTTGAGGCTGCTTTGAACTTGCAGTCCTCTTGCCTCAGCCTCCTGAGCCTCTGAGATCACAGCTGTGTCACACACACACACACACACACACACACACACACACATACACATACACACACACACAGTGATTTCTATCAAACTCACAGACATAACAGGCTCCACTGTGCACATGATTCCTCGGCTTTAAGAAGAGACTCGGAGACGGTGACACGATGCATTTGGTGGCGCAGAGCCGGGCCTCACGATTCCTCTGTGCAGCTTCCCAGCCCCTTGCCACTCACCTGAACTCTGAGGTTGGGGGTGTGGGCCTCCCCAGCCCTGGGGACCTTCAGATTTGATTCCCGGCAAGTCAGGTGGCCCGTCAGTGGCTCCTGGGCTGCTCATCAATGACCATCACTAATTAGTTATAATTTTTTTTTTGGTGGTGGTGCTGGGGATCGAGCCCAGGGCCTTGTGCATGCGAGGCCAGCCCTCTACCAACTGACCCCAGCCCCTAGATTTTTTTTTTTCATGTATTCTGTTTCTGCCCTTGTTAGGGTCAAGGTGGTGCTGGTTCTGCAAGGATCTGGGAAGCCTTCGTCATTTTCTTTCCTCTGGAGTAATTTCTGCATCCTGTACATTGACACCGAGTCTGAGGCCTGAGGCTGCATGGCGGTTGGTCACCTGCTTATCTACTCTCTAAGGATGAGTCTGAGAATGGTCTTCCCCACACAGGGTCAGTGTCGGTGGCTCCCGGTTCCTAGAACATCTGCGTAAGTGGAATGGAATATGGAATCTTTCCAGCTGCTCCAGAATTTGTGGCGGGAAGTGAAAACCGCCATTACAGAGGGCAGTGCACCTGGCACCCTCAACAACGTCCAGTAGAAAGACGCCACCAAAAGGCTAGTGACTGGACTGACTGGGGTGGGAGTTTTGGCCAGGAGATCCAGCCACTAGCCACTGCGGGCCGTGTCCCTGGGGTGGGGCCACAGAGATGTTGAAGAGGTGGCCTGGATCAGCTTTTCCGTGTCAGAGAAAATGAGGGGACGCCCCTCCACCTTAGGACCTCACTGAAATGTCCTCTGTGCACCTCAGGAGACACCAGCTACCAGGTACCATGGACAGGCAACAGCAGGGTGCACGTGGGCTCTTGGAGAAGCAGGGACGGCCCAGAGCCAGGAACAGCAGCACCAATTAAGTGGCAGACACAGTCCCTGTCCCCTGCCTCCCCCCCCCCCACCTGAGGAAGAAAATTCAACAGGCCCAGCTCTCCGTGGGTCCGTGGGTCCGTGGGTCCTGCTGCCCTCTGGGACTCCCCTCCTGCACACACCCTGCGCCCCCCGGCTGGCTCCCAGGGCTCCGGGGCTGGCTTCAGGAACAAGGAGAACTGAGGCCAGGGAGACCGGGAAGGGCCTGGGGAGGAGCCGGGAGGGTCTGGGAGGCCGGCAGAGCTGCTTTGATCCGCAGCGTGGACTCTGGGCCCTTCCCGCCTGCGGGCTCCACCGGCCTCCCCAGCCCAGGTCAGGGTTAGGGGAGACTCTCAGGTCAGCGGGAGGCCAGGAAGACAGCGCAGCCCCGGGAGGGCCCTGGTGGGAGCAAGTGGCCCTCAGGGAGACGCACAGTGGACAGTGTTTGCCCCGCACCCTTCCCAGGGGATGCAGAGTTCACCTCTAGAAAACGGAAAGGGAAGTAGGGCACAGGGATAGACCCCAAATCACCAATCACCAATTATATTGACTAGAAAACCACACGTACACCTATATACTGTGTGTGTGTGTGTGTGTGTGTGCAGGAGCTATATGTGCATATACATATTTATAGTGAGAATTATTGACATGATCAAGTACATTTTATTCATTCCCACTGATTTATAATGTCCAATCTTTTTTTAATTTTTTTTTAGTTGCAAGTGGACACAATACCTTTATTTATTTGTTTATTTTTATGTGGTGCCGGGAATTAAACCCAGGGCCTCTCCC